ATGTTCCTGGCATAGAAGGCAAAGGTTCTGGTCCTAGGGAGGATGTCCAAAATGTGGAGCATAGAACAGAGGGTCCCAGTGACTGCATAACTACCTTGGCCCGCAGCCCACTCCCCCGGGTTTGTCCCCGTGCCTGCGGGGCGTCCACGCGGGGGCCTAACCAGCAGAGTTTGGGTCGGGCGGGGGCAGCCCGACAGCGGGGGCGGAGAAAGGGCGGGCGCGGGGGCGGCGCCGCAGGCCTGGCGGGGCCCTGGGCTGGGGCCGGAGCTGGAGCCGGAGTCCAGGGAGATCGGAGCAAGCAAGCAAGAATCGCCAAAGCCACCGCGGGTCTCCAGTGTCGCGGCCTGCGCCCACGCGCTTCTGCCTGATTGCGGTGCGTGTTGTGGGCAGCAGCGGCCGGCCGGGGGGCAGCGGCGCCATGGCCGCGCCGGAGCCGCTGCGGCCGCGCCTGTGCTGCCTAGTGCGTGGTGAGCAAGGCTACGGCTTCCACCTGCATGGCGAGAAGGGGCGCCGGGGGCAGTTCATCAGGCGCGTGGAGCCAGGGTCCCCCGCCGAGGCGGCCGCATTGCGAGCTGGGGATCGCTTGGTCGAGGTTAACGGCGTCAACGTGGAGGGTGAGACGCACCACCAGGTGGGTGCCTGCGCCCCGCCCCGGGCCGGCCCCTCCCCGGGGGTGTGAATGACCCCCAGCTCACTTAACCCTGCTGAGGCCAGACGTGTGTGTGTGTGTGTGTGTGTGTGTGTGTAGGGGTGGCGCAGGGCGGCCTGTGGGGTGAAATGGGGGATGTCGTCCAGCCAGCTCCTAGCAGGGAAGCCCTGGACTGCACGTGGGGGTGGAGGGGAGAGTCCTGGCAGGGGAGGCAACTGCGGCTGCTCTGGCCCTTGGCTCTGGCTCCTTGTACTTTGGCTCCAGTGTAACTGTGTCGGGATGTGGGCACATTGGGACATATTGGCACAAATGCTTTTGTGAGTGTGTGTACATAGCTGGAAATGTGTATGTGCGGGTCCCTCTGGGGTATCCATATGTGCACAAATCTGCACATGTGTGTAGAGGGAGAGGGTCAAAGTAAGAGTACCCGTGTGTTTGGTTGTGTGCTGGACTGTGTGCCTAGGACTAGGTTGTACATATCTGCATACCTGGAATGTGTGAGCTGGGTTTCGTATGTGTATGTGTGCACCCATCTGTCTGTCTGCCTATATGTACTTGCCAGTGTCTGAAGCCGGTGTACTAATATGCATCTCAGCTGGGTGTGGCAGCATGTTCCTTGGCTCCTGAGGTGCTTCCCTCTCCTCTGAACCTTCCTGCCTGGGCTAGGGTCACTACAGAAGCCCCTGCCTCCCACATCTGGAGGAAGGCCTTGGAAGCATGCATGCTTTTCTCTCTGCATCTTCTCCGCTCTGGGGTATCTATCACTAGCAGCAGACTCACCCCAGACGCTGGCTGGGATCCAGCCTTCCTCCACCCTTTCTGCTCCAGGTCCCTTATGTCCCTCACAGCACTACCCAGTCAGGTCAGGGTCTGTCTTTGTGGCCACTAGTGGGGCTTGGAGATAGCAGACTTGTTCTTGGTTGGGCCAGAACTGACTGAACTCCTATCTCCCTCAGGGGTCTGTCTATCCATCTTCCTGTCATCTTGTCTTTTTCCTAGAGCATCAACTGAATATGGCTATGTACTGAAAAAGGGTATGGGTGGAGGTTGGAGGGTTGGTCCAAAAGGTGGGGGAGACCTGGTGAGAGTTGTTGCCCGGCCTCTTTTTGGCAGTCACTGCCACTCTCACCCCAGATGCACCTGCTAATCGTAGGCCTTTGCAGTGCTGGTATCCAAGAGTTTCACATAGAACCATAATGGACCCTCCAAACTGCCCCAGGAGGGGAGGAAGTCCAACTACAACCCCCTTACAGATGAGGAAACATACTTTGAGACTGTAGATAACTTACCAAGTTCCCACATCAGAAAGCAGGAGAATGTTGGATTTTTCCTGTCACTCTTCGTGTCATGGGGAGAAAGGAGGAACATTAGGGGACCAGAGAGGATGGGCCTTGGTCACTTTCCTATTCATATGTTGACATCTGCTGAACAGAACAGTGGTGGTGGCTGCAGGGAGGGGCTGGGGTTGTCATCCTTTCTACACTGTGCTAGCAGGTACTTTGCTTTTTCCCTGTGAGTGCACACAAACACCTTGGCTACCCCATGACTGCCTGCATGCTCACCACATTTCATAGGCATCTAATCTACTTAGACACATGGACAGCTGTAAAGCTATATCTGTCCCATAGTGGACCTGCACATGACCCCTCCTCACCTGATGGACTGAATCCTGCTAACAGGGATGTATGGAGATGCCTGAGCCAGAAACCCAGGTCTTCACTTGTCTGCGGATCCAGCAGGAATTGATCCCTGGTCATGGTCTGCAAGGGAATGGGAGGGCCAGTGGCAGGAATTTAGACTTCTATGTTGGTGACAGAAACAGCACCAAGCACACCACAGTGGCACCCAGGAACATGATATACCATTCTTGCATACTCTCCAGGGACAGACCAAAACAGATGTGTGCACAAGAACACACAATGCATGTGTGGACATATATACACATATGCACATACTCTCACAAACTTAAAACCTAAAGCCCAGCCAGGCCCATCTTTTGCCTCTTTCAGACAGACTGATTCTCCACTGACTGACTCTGTAACTCCTTCCCATCCCAGTCTTCCAGTCCCCTCTTGGAGAAGGCTGAGGCCAAGGACTGAGAGGCTCCTCAAAGCCTGTGCAATCTAGGGCTAGTGTCAGGAACTCCAGGGTAAGAGGGAGGGTGCTACTGGAGTGTGAGAGTGAGGAGGCAGAGCCTACAGGACTTGCGGTACAGATGACCACCTCTGCAGATCAGTCTCCTTCCTACTAGTCCAAACTTGGGTCACCCCAAGGTGGTGTCAGTGTCCATGTGTTGCCCAGGGTGCTGGCCACTGACCCTCTCCCACCCTACCCCACCCCTGTCATAGGTGGTACAAAGGATCAAAGCTGTGGAAGGGCAGACACGGCTGCTGGTGGTGGACAAGGAGACGGATGAGGAGCTTCACCGGCGGCAGCTGACCTGCACCGAGGAGATGGCCCAGCAAGGCCTTCCACCAGCCCATGATTCCTGGGAACCAAAGCCCAACTGGGCACATGGGGGCAGCCTCAGCTCTGATGCTGGCCGGAAGGTATGGCAGGCTCTGGCTATAGGATCATCAGCTGTTCCCAGAGCTACCATCTCTCAGCCTTTTGATGACAATTTGCACTTCTGGTCACCTCCACAAGCCACTGTTTCTTCTGCTTCTTGGAGCCCCTTCTTTGTTCCCGTGATCATTGGTGACCACCCTCTAGCGCACTTGGGGCCACTCTTTCTGTCCTCATTGTGTACCACCCCCGTCCCCTCCTCTTGGGTCTAGTGGCTGAGGAGCTCTGGTAAGAGTGAGTGGCTTGTTCTAGGACCTCACCTGTGTAGCTGTGTCTGTCAGTGGCCCTGGGAATCTTTGTGTCCTGGGAAGGCCTGCAGGAGGCTGCATTCTTGGGCAGTCCTTTGTGGGGAGCTGACGACCCACTGAATTGAGGGCCCAGCACTGTTGGAGCTGGAGTGGACCAAGGAATAAGAGCAGAGCTAGCACCCAGGCAGTGCTCTGCATTGGCTGCTCAGGTCTGCTCCTCATGTGTTAGGTCCTAATGGTGTGACCACCTGAGATAAAAGTCCACTGTGGCCTACTTTTTTTTGAGACAAGGTCTTGCTACATAGCCCAGACTGGCTTTGAACTCATGGTAATTTTCCTGCTTCAGCCTTTTGAATGCTAATATTATCGGTATGTGCCATCATGATCAGCTTTGTCCCTCCTGTGTGACACCTATACTTTGTCCCTGCCTCCTTTCCAAAAAGTCCTACAAAAACAAAAACAAAAACAAAAAACCAGGGGAACTAAGCATGGTAACATATGCCTGCAACTCCAGTGTTTGGGAGGCTGAAGCAGGAGGCAAGAGGATCACTGCCAGTTCATAGCCAGCTTGGGGCCAGTCTGAACTACAGCAAGACTTTGTCTTAAAAAAAAAAAAAAAAAAAAAAAAAAAAAAGCACGAGGGCTTCCTGCCTTTCCTTCTTCCAGGTAGTTACAGTACAGTACCTGAGAGTTTCTTGAGGCCAGAAGGAAGGACCTGGGGTTGTTGGTTGTACCTCCTAGAGGTCCTCATATTTTCTCTCATACTCAGAACCGAATCACAACTACCCAAAGGGATTTAAGTCTAGGGGCTCCCCAGGTCCTGCTTTGAGACCCAGTAACCTAGGGGTGGAGGCATTGTCAGGTCTGGTTTCTGGGTGTGCAGAAAACCTTGAAATCTGCATTTTCCCTTTTTCTTTCCCTAGCTGTGCCTAGGAGTTGAGCCTTGTGGAATCTCTTTGGGGATGCGGAGATGACATTCCCAGGGGAAGCCCTGCCTGCGCAAAGGCCTGGCCGGGCGACCCATGGATGGTTTTTATTCCCTGGAACTAGGGGGCATGTGCTGAGCCCTAGAGTCTAGACTGCACCAGAGCTGTCAAAGGTCAGGAGTCTTTCAGGGAAGTCCTGCTGGTGGCCAGCTGGTCCCAGGGCCCTCTTCCCCTGACTGAGAATTGGGTACCTCCTCCCTTCCTCTCCGAGGAGGAAGCACCCCCCACCCCACAGCATTTGTCCATTGATTTAGACACAACGGTGGTAGCTGAGTTCACTTTCCTGTGGAAAAATCCGCCCTTGGGCCTTATCAGGAGGTGGGGTGGCTGAGGCACCTCAGCCTTGGGTGGGACCTTCCCCCCTCTCTGCTATTTCAGGCACTGGGGCTGCAGGAAACCCTTAGAGGGGGCTTCCTTTGGGCGTATTTTTAGAGGAACAAAGGGTGATGTGATGGGCAGGTCCCTCTGTGGATCAGGCTGACTTGGGAACTGGGAGTCCTGGAGGTCAGAGAACCATGGGGATCACTCCCTGGGAGAATGGGGCCTCATGTGTGTGACCTCCACAAGCCAGGCTTAAGAGACATTTGCCCTGGAGTTGAATGCAAGGAGTGTGGGAGGGTACGGTGCCCACTGCCAGGATGATCTCTGATGAGGGTGTTTGTGGAAGAGAGAGATTTATTATACGTGTGGGGCCTACTAAGTGCCCCAAGGGCTTCCTTTACCCTCTTTGTGCCTAAAATGTCCTCTATTTCAGGCTAGGTAGGAAAGTGGAGCATGAAGGACACTGGTATGGTCTGTCCTTCCCTTTGGGGGCTTAGAAGACCTTGTCAGTGGTGACTCAGCCCAGGGCCACGCGAGGCTGGGGGTGGCTGCAGCTGCAGTGCAGCTGATTCTAGCAGTGACAAAGGAATGGCCCCCAAACAGAGATAGGGCAGCCAGCAGTGCCAGGACCAGGAAAGTCTAACCACCCCCTCACTCCCAGCTGTGATCCCCACCATGTGGAAGGCTCTGGGGGCGGACTGGGTGAGGGGTGGTAGCTGCAGAATTCTGGGTGCCGTGCCTATAAGAGGGTTCTGGGCTCCTCAGGCTCCTGCTGTCCTTCTCCTCCTCTGTATGAAGCACACTAGTACTGTTCTCTGTCCTGGGGCTGGGGTCCCCTCCCTTGCCTGTCTCCTCTGCCCTGAGTCCAGCAGCAGGGCAGGGCCTCCCAGTGGCTTCCTTCCTTCCTTTCTTAGGACGGAAACCCAGTTAGCCAGGGAGTGCAGCTTTGGAGTCTCAGCAGGGGACAGGGCTCAGTCACCACCCCACTCCCCAAAGTGACTCAGTTTGTATGTCCCCACCCATCCCCAAGGAACCTGGGCTCTCTCAGGAGGTAGATAAGTAGGGTGGCAGCCTGGGCTGGCCAGAGAGCTCAGGCCACTCTGAGCTGTCTGCTGACTGCTTGCTGTTTCTGTCCTGCCTCTCATGGCCCGCTCCAGGAATTCCACACCACCCACCCCAGCTCAAGGAGTCCTTCTGCAGAGCCCACCCTGGGGGCTTGTGCAGGTCAGATGGGGTGGGGGAAGGACTGGGCTGAGAGGACCCCATCCTCTGCTCATTCCTCTAGGGAGGGAAAAGGGACTAGGTGCCCATGCCTTGGGGCCCTTCATGTAAGTAGGCTGGACCCCAAGCAACAATGGTGGCCTTTCTCTTTCAGTGCTGGTGAGTCACCATCTGGGGAGGCACTGACTCTTGGGGCACTTCCATGCCAGCCTCTTTGGTCACAGGCTCAGCTGGAGGAACCAGAGCTTGCCTTTCACTTCTTCAGCCATCAGGCTGGGAGTCTTTGGGACCCGGAGGGCTTGGAGGGATATAGCAGGAAGTGTGCAGAGCCAGGCCAGGGAGAAGGAATTCCAGAAATGCACCCCCCCATCCCCCGCTGCTTGCCTGCCTCCCCTTGCACCACTAGGCTAGCCAGGCCCCCTATTGCAGTCCCTCCAGTTGAGCTCAGGTCTCTTGCCAAGTTTTGCACCCCTTGGACCTGCTGGTAATGAGAGGGACTTACGCTAGTAATTAGTAGAAACTTCTTGGCTTGTGTAGTAGGAGGTGGGTGTTCTGCACTGAGGCAGGGGGTTGGCCAGAATGGTCCCAGGAGCACGGATGTGGCCTTAGCCTGGCCTCATGGCCCCGGATACCCCCATCAAATCCTGCTTCCTGTATGGGGGCCTTGAGAGATCCCGCCCTGCTGGCTGTTGCAGAGGCTGTGGGAAGAGGCCACAGGGGCTGGCGTCATGGGCCTTGTGTTTGCATGTGTGGGTGGCTGTAAGTGTCCCTGTAGGATGTTTAAAAGTGTAAACTTGGATGCTTTTGTCTCTGTGGCCATGTGGTGTGGCCCTGCATCCTAGGCCATGTCCCTAAGCCAGGCACAGTGCTCTGGGCTGGCTCTTGTTTCTGTTTCTTTCTTTTCTTTTTTTTTTTTTTTTTTTTTTTTAACATTTATTTAGAGTGTGTGTGTGT